GCCTCCGAGGCCCTGGGCCTGCAGGGAGGTACCAGGGCGCCCGGCTACACGGCAACCAGCAGAACGACGGCTACGTTTCTATAAACTCCTTTTAAAGTTACATACTAAAAACGTGATGAAGAAAAAAGTAGTGGAACAGAGGTGAGTCGAGTGTTAAGAAAGGCTAACCTGAATGCTCCTGGTTTGGTTTGGCTTTTCTCCTAACCTAGGGTTTGAACTCAGCATCCCATTTGCCCAGCTTGCTTGTTCCACTACTAAAGACAATGCCTGCAGCCTGGACTTTCACTGGTTATTTTGGAGATGGAATACTGCAAACTTTTTGCCTTGGCTGGCTTTGAACCTAGATCCTTCAGATCTCAGCCTTCTGAGTAGCTAGGATTATAGGCCACTACAACAACCTGGAGTGCTTCATATGACATCATTCAAATATATCTGAGTTGCCGCAGCTGGTTTATTCTTATCCCAGCTCCAAGCCACAGTGGGGGCGGCAGCTCTGGCTTTCTCCAAGGAGCAGAGGCAGCTCTGGGTGGTGCTGAGCCAGGGTATCCATGAGCGGGCGGGCGGGCAGGCAGCACCAAGTGATCCCACCCGAGAACCACAGTTCAAGTTCCTGGGGGACATCAAAACAGGTGTGTCAGCTGAGGGGGGGAGGGGCCCTCCTGAAGCCAGGACAGGCCTCAGGGCCTCTGCACTGAGGACAGACAACCCGAAGGAGGTGCAGTCAGAGGAGGGAGGGAGCCCCAGTGCGCTCCAGCCACCGGACAGCAACCTGCGCCTTTCCCAGCCGAGAAGACAGAGACCATTACATCTGCCCAGCACACCATGTCAGGCCCAGGGAGGCCCTGGTCACTCGCACGCACACACACACGTGCACACACACACACCAGCCTTCCTAGAGTAAAACAGGCCCCAGCTCCTCTGCAGATAGTTTTAGTCAGTCAGTGGTTGTCTGGAGTATGTCCTGAACCCAGATTGCTTTTCTGTATTTCGCTCCTATAAATCCCGAGTATCTCAGCCTCCCACTTCTCCCTTCCCCCTCCTGTGTCTCACAGACCACCGCCACCCACGTCTGGTCTCGCCACTCTATTTGGGCCCCGGGGGAACTGGCTCTCCATCTTCAAATTTGTGTATTGATCAGCATTGTACAATTCATCTCCTAAGCTGTAACCCATGTACCAATACTACCATGTACTCAGTAAGATGCATCTAGACATCAGGAGACATTCTAGACCAGAATACCCCAAAACCTGGCACAGATGGAGAGAGGCGGAAGGAGCCACCATTTATGAGCAGGTGGCCACCCTCGTCCCTCAGTGCGCTGTTCCAGTCCGCCTTCCCAGCTCTAGGAAGCAGCTGCTCTTGGCATCACTTACCAGTAAGGACACTGAGGCTGGGAGAGTAGAAACGCTTGGCCAAGGCCGGCCCCCTGTGTCTTTCTTTCTCTGCAGCCCTGGCCCCGGGGGCTGTGCCCGGGATGCTGTGTGCGCAGCGCCTTTGCCTCCGGCTTCCAGCTTGGCAGGTCCCCTGGAGGCACCCGAAGGAGCAAGGGGCAGAAATCCACAGCCCTGCCGCCTCCTGCCGCCGTGGGCACTGGCAGCGGCCGCACGCTCGGCCTTAGTGCCCGTGAGACGAGGCCAGTTCCTGCCCAAGGCGAGGCCCGGGCCCCTGCTGCGTCCCCAGGCCCCTCGGAGCCCTGGCCGGGCCTCTGCGGACAGCCCCTCAGGACCTCTCCAGGCGAGCTCCTGCAGCCGGCCAGCCTGGCCTCGCGAGAGGGCCAGGCTCACTCAGGCAAGACACAAGGCCTTCGCCCAACAAGTCCTGCAAGCCCTGGGCAGGCTCAGTCACCAGGGCAGAGTTCACCAGGCAGCTAAGAGCACAGTCATGCAGAGCCCTGTCCGGCCAGCTCCGGCTGGAGCCATGAGGCTGGCTCCTCACCCAGACGCTTACCATTTACCGGGAGGGCTCATGGGGGGGGGGAGCGGGGGCAGGGGCTGGAGGAGGCAGAGGGGAGGAAAGAGGCGAGAGGGGAAGCGGGGGTCGGATTTGGATAGAAACACTGGCCCTCAACCCAACCCACATGAGGAGATCCCAAGAGTTGGTTAAGTTCACACCAAACCACGAAGTGACCCACTCCCTGTCTGTCACCAGCCTCACAGCCGCTGGTCCACAGGTGCTCAGGCCTCCTGTCCCGCCCGGCCCCTCCTGCCTCTGCCCACGTCCTCACTGGGGACCCCACCCTTTCTTACCTATCAGACCTGCCAAGATTCCTGCCTTCCCACCTGCACACTCCTGCCATAGTGCTCCACGCACAGTGCTCCACCTGCACACTCTGCCACAGTGCTCCACACAGTGCTCCACCTGCACACTGCCAGTGCTCCACACAGTGCTCCACCTGCACACTGCCAGTGCTCCACGCACAGTGCTCCACCTGCACACTGCCACAGTGCTCCACACACAGTGCTCCACCTGCACACTACCACAGTGCTCCACACAGTGCTCCACCTGCACACTGCCACAGTGCTCCACACAGTGCTCCACCTGCACACTGCCACAGTGCTCCACACACAGTGCTCCACCTGCACACTGCCACAGTGCTCCACACAGTGCTCCACCTGCACACTGCCACAGTGCTCCACACAGTGCTCCACCTGCACACTGCCAGTGCTCCACACAGTGCTCCACCTGCACACTGCCACAGTGCTCCACACA